GGTAGCAGAATACAACAGTTACTAATAGGGCATTATGTAAAAATGTAGATGTGTAACCAATGTGATTCTGCAATATGTATATGGGGTAAAATTGGGAGTTCATAACCAACTTGAATCTAATGTATGAAATATGATATGTCAAGAGCTTTGTAATGTTTTGAACAACCAATAAAAAAAAATAAAATAAAATAATTTTTATTTACCTGAAAAAAAAAATAGAAGGGAGATCAGTGAAGCAGAGAAAGGGACTGATGAGGAGGAAGGAAGGACAGGAAAAGGGAAGAATGGTTGACTGAAATTGACCAAATTATGCTATGTACATATATAAATATGCCACAATGAATTTCACCTTTATGTTATATCTATAAAGCACTAATTTAAAAACATATAAATAAATAAAGAGAAAGAAGACCAGTAGACTAGAGGAAGGAGAATCGATAAGGAGGAGAGGAGGAAAAGAGGAAGTACCAGGTACTAAAGTGGAGGAAATTACATTCTAGGTATATATGTTATGTCAAAATGAATCCCAGTATTATACATAGCTATAATGCACTAATAAAGCATAAAAAGGTATATCATGCTACTTCACAGCAGTATAGTAAAAGCAAAGAAAAAAGACAAATATTAGTAACTCTGAATGATATCACCAAATCATGAATGGAAGACCACCAGATTTTTCTCAGTATGAGAAAAGAATTAAGACCCTAGCTAGAGCCAACCTGTACATGCACACAGTTCCTAAGGCACCCTTTGTCCCTCAGAATCAGAGAAAGAGAAATTTACTCATAAGAACCTCCCTTATGGTAGGAAGCTCAATAACTCCACAGGGATAAAACAGTTTCATCTGTTTCTATGCCAATTACTCTGAGGTATGAATGAGATGCCCCCCACACAGTACCTTTTCTTTTTTTTTTTTAAACACAGTACCTTTTCAAAATCAGAACTTGGATGCTTGAGTTACTGAGAATCCTAACTGGATCAACCTAGAAATGTGGTCACTGTGCCTCTGTTATTTAAACACTTAATTCTTGGAGAAAAATTATTAGATTTCAGAACTAAAAGAGACTTTAGAAATCTATGAATTCGGGCTGGGGATGTGGCTCAAGCGGTAACTCAATCACCTGGCATGCGCAGGGCACTGGGTTCCACCCTCAGCACCACCTAAAAATAAAATAAAGATGTTGTGTCCACCAAAAGCTGAAAAATAAATATTAAAAATTCTCTCTCTTCTCTATTAAAAAAGAAATCTATGAATTCTTATTGTAAATTATGAAAACTAGAATCCAAAAAGGTTACATGAAATTCTTATTGGCACACTAAGCAAGAGAACAAGAATTTTGTAAATGCCCTTAGACCACTGCAAAATCTCAAATTACTACTTATGTAGTAAAAATAAAGAACTGACAATTAACATACACTAGTCTTCTTCATAGGTCTCTATACTAACCTTCAGGAGTTTTAACTTGAGAAAAACATTTTATATAATATATTCACCCAGAAGGCTGTAAACATTATAAACTTGAATCTAATGTATAAAATATGATATGTCAAGAGCTTTGTAATGTTGTGAACAACCAATAAAAAAAATAATAAAAAAATATATATAAAATAAGGGCTGGGGATGTTGTGGCTCAAGCAGTAACGCGCTCGCCTGGCATGCGTGCGGCCCGGGTTCGATCCTCAGCACCACATACAAACAAAGATGTTGTGTCTTCCGAAAACTAAAAAATAAATATTAAAATTCTCTCTCAAAAAAAAAAAAAAAAAACAAGTCAACTACTTGCCGTAAACCATGGCACCGGTTCCAGTCAGTAAGTCAAGAAAGAATAGTCAAGGTATAGGCCAATAGTTTGGGACATTTGTAACTATTATTAAAAGTTTTAAAAGTTAACTAAGCAGAAACAGCTCAAAGCAAAACTCGAACTGAAAGTACAAATGCTTGCTTATGCATAAGCCAAGATACATTCTTCTATTCTAATTGTAGCTATGTAATATTTTGTTTTGTTTGAATAATGATTCCTGTTTTGTAACCACAAAGTACTATGAGCCTGCCAAAATGAAAAGTATATATCATCAACTTCACAAGTAAAGATTGGGATCAACAAAAATAAATAAATAAATAAATAAATAAGGTAAAATTCTCCCTCTGTAATAAAAATATCTCATATATCTCATAAAAAAAAAAAAGACAGTAGTGCATGAGGATACTTCTTGGTTCTAAACCCCCAAACAATGATTCTCAAAATCTGAATGACCTGCATAAAAATCATGCTTGTGGAAAATGCAGATTCCAGAGCCAATTCTAGACCTACTTGATTTCTAAGTCAGAAATCTACAATTTTAGCAGTCCCTCAGGTGACTCTCCATGCCATAAAGCTTGAGAACCACTACCACAAACAATCATTCTACTGTCAGTGAGTCACCCCTAGTCATTTGCATCTTCCCATCAAAAATGAACTGGTGTCCCAAAGCTGGGATCCAAATTACCTTGCCGTCCTTCATCATTGGTGAAGAGTCCAGTGTCACTGCTGCTACACACACTGCTGGTTTCACTGAAAAAAAAAAAAAAAAGAGTAAAACTCAGAGAACTCATCAACTCCAGTCAAAAACCACTCTACATTCTTCTGATTTTCCAAAGAAAAGACCTCAAGTTTTCCTAATTTCACTCCAGTCCATTAGCCAATTGTGTAGGTAAATTTCACAGGGAAGCCATAGGTAAAGTTTCTTTACCCCCAAAAAACAACAACAAAAAAATATGTAAAAGAAAAATACTAAAATTTTACATGTAAAAAAATCTAAGATTACTTTGTTAGTTTAGGATCTAAAATATTTATTGAAACTCATACAAGTAATCTCAACCTGATTTGGCATATTAACCAACACAAATTTATCAATTTTATTTTTTAAATATTGCCAACTATTAATTTCAAATGAAGATAATCAACTTTGACATTTAACATCTCTTAAAATTTCTCCCACTTGCAAAGCAGTAAACATTCATAAGCAGAAAATAAATTAATATGGTCAGTTATATTTTCCAAAATTTCATGTCTTCCTTGACATCAAGTAGATATACAAAGCTTATTTTGGGGGGAAAATAAGGAGTTAAGGTTAAAAATAAAAATATAAAAACAAACTCCATTCAGACTCACTGAAATAAAACTTTTGACCTAACAATTGATTCCACTTCTTGTGCTATTTTCTTTCACCCAATCTTCATCAAATGTGCTTTACCTGGTTCAAGAAAAATTTCTTTATTTACAATATTAGCTATTTCCTTGACTGGGAGTATTCGCTTCCGAGTTAGTCAATTTTGTTTCACCTGCTCTAGACGATGCAAGAAACCAAAGCAAGGGAAAAAGCATTTTCACTATGGTGAAAAAGGAACAGGCCTGGCAAAATCCCAACCTATAGTCCTAAATCAAAACTCTGAAAATATTTTGTATTTTGCAACATTTTCAAATATCTTGCCAACACTAAATCCTCAAACTGCTGGTTAAATTAGTAGCAATGCTTTCCTCACAAGCTTAAGCTTGTTTCTGAATAACAAATGGCAAGAGACCTTTCACAGCAAGAGCCAAAAACCAAAACATACTTGGATTCTATACAGGTTCTTTCACTTTATTTTCTTGTGCACTTATATATTCTCAAGGGTCATTTTAAGAAATGTCTCACAAAACTATACCACTATATCCTTTGAATCCTCAAACAGCTCTACAGTAAAATCCAGAAGCATCCATATAGAGGACTACATTCTTCCTACTTCTTAATTTAAGGAACTGTGCCTGTTCTTGAACTTAAGAAACTGGCTATTCGTATTTTCAGCAAATCTGAAAATCACTAGTGGTCTAATTCCATCAAGTCTTACAACACAGTCTCTCTCATATTACTACTTTATTATTCTCATCTTACCTCAAGGATAAAGCATATTTTTTATTTTCTTTTGCAATGCTCAGAATTTTAAGGAGAGATACAAAGCACATTAGGTTGTGGGATATATGCTATTTCACCATCATATTTTACACTTCACTAGTTAGCATCACTACTGAAACTTATGTCCTATCACCTGTTTTTATATGACCTATGAGTTCAGAATGGTTTTTACAGCAAATTGTTAGGGAAACATCAAAATGTAAATATTTTGTGATGTGAAGAGATGATGTGAAATTCAAATTTCAGTACATGTCAATAAAGTTTCATTGAAATCAACCATACTCACTCATTAATACATCTTTCTACAACCTCTTTTGTACTCATCTGCAGAGATTATACAGTCCAGAAGACCCTAAAATATTTATTATCTATCTCTTTATAGAGAAAGTTTGTGGATTCTTGTTTAATGACTATGGTCTCGTTTGAATATTTCCATTAGAAAGTTAAAACAATTACTCTATCACAAAATCTGTCAATTCTCTTCCCCATTCATTTCCAGCCACTTGTAGGTACTACAAGATACAGTGCTTCCTAGATCTTTTTACATGGAATCCAGTCTCTCCCAATATTCTAAATAAAAAGGCAGTCTCAAAGAATATCTGCTAAATCAAGAAAGGTGATAGTAACTGTCAGCATACATTTTTTATTGTTTTATCAATAGCATTTCTTTTTTTTTAACTTTAATATTTATTTTTTAGTTTTTGGCGGACACAATATCTTTGTTTGTATGCGGTGCTGAGGATCAAACCCGGGCCGCACGCATGCCAGGCGAGCGCGCTACCGCTTGAGCCACATCCCCAGCCCCTCAATAGCATTTCAAGAGAATCAATCTTCTTGAAAAAACTTGAGAATGAACTTGTCTCAAAGAGTTTGTTCTATATAGTGAATTAATGACAATAATAGCATGGAATTATCCTCAGGACGTTAAGACTATGATCAAGAGAGATATGTATTTTCTTCACAAAAAAATTAGTTCTATAAAATTTATTCCATGCAAGTAAGTACCATCCTTTTACCAATGTCTGGAAACAAATGCATCATCTGATGGCACTGCTAATTTTATTTATTCCCTCAGAATAATTTATATTATGAAAATGTAATCAATGTATAAAAAAATGTTAGCATGATTTGCTAAGGAAAAATGTGAGGAGTTCCATGGCATGCTTGCACATAAACACTATAAAAAAAAGTTTGCAAAAATGTAGTACTAAATAAAAAATAAAGGTAAATATAAATATTTTCCTTCCAAGTTTCAAGTCCAAGTTTCTTGTCATGCATCCCTCACTCACTCCTCTTAGACTATGATTTAAAAAAAAAAAATCAGATCAGTATGATTTTAATATTTAGTCAACTATAAAATGTTAATTTAGTTACTTCAATTTAATATTCAGTTACAAATAAGGTCACATATTATGAATCTTTAGATATAAAGGAACAAGATAGAGTCAACAACAGCAGCAGGTAATGAAATCCTGTACTTTGTACTATCTCAAAATGACAGCAACTCCTAGAAGCATCCATGCCTCCTCCTTTTACTTCAGGAGTTGTTCCATATTCCCTGTGCCTCATAATTTATGAGCTTCTAACCTATGAATTGTTTGCATACAAAAATCTTCCTAGACTACTTCTAAAATATGCTGGAGAACTATTTTCAACCTTACAAAAATGTGTACTTTGTTTTTTTTTTTTTTTTAAAGAAATCTAATCCCAAACCAAGCATGGTGGTGCATGCATGTAATGCCAGTGCTCAGAAAGCTGAAGCAGGAGAATCACAAGTTCAAGGCCAGCCTCAGCAATTTAGCAAGGCCCTAAGCAACTCGTGAGATCCTGTCTCAAAATAAAAAACAAAAAGGGCTGGGGAATGAAGGGAAGGGAGGGTGAATGAGAATAGAAAAGAAAGTAGAATGAATTTGCCATAACTTTCCTATGTTCATATATGAATACAAGCCCAGTGTAACTCCACATTATGTTCAACCACAAGAATAGGAAGTTATACTCCATGTATGTATACAATATTTCAAAATACATACTACTGCCGTGTATAACTAAAATAATAATAATTAAATTTTTAAAAGCTGAGGATGTGGCTCAGTGATAAAATGCCCCTGGGTTAGATCTTCAGTACCAAAACAAATAAAAAACAAATAAATGAAAAATCTCTAAAAGGAAAAAGGAGGAGGAAAGATTCCCACCTGTGTTTCTCCTAAATTTTAATTCATTCATTTAGGAAGTATTTATTATTTGCCATATACCAAACACTGCTATAACCAGCACTTAAAACTAACAAAGAAACATGCACTCCCAATTTAAATGAGGCATCTTGATTAAAAAATTAAAAACTAGTCAACACAGTAGAAGAAAGATTATGAAGAGATAGAAGAAAAATGCTTTCCAATGACAAACACTATACAATTAATGAGGGGTGGTGTAAGCCTGGAATTTAACTTTACAATCCTGAGAAAAATCATCCCATTTTAGAAGCCAAGAAATGTCTTAAAAATATTCATATATGAATAAAAGTAGTAATAATACTTGACACTTCTATACAAAGCGTATAGCTCAAATGTTTCCATACTTTATTCAGTAATATAATCACCATTTTAAATAAGATACAAACAAAATTACAATCTAGATTTTGGACCACCAATTCTACTACCTAATTACTATAATATTGTAAGAAAAGCAACTAAGCCACATCCAACTAAAATAATAGAAGTGTAAAAAAAAAAAGTCAACTTAACCAGCAGTTCAAAAGGCTGATTCTCCCATCGACCTTTTATTATGAAAATTTTCAAACACATAAACTGTTTAAAAGTAGTTAGTTAACAAGGATTTCAATTCCACAAGTAACATTATGCTTTCTTTACTTTATTATACATCTATCCATCTAACCTTCCCATCAGAGCTTCTTTGTAATGAGAGGCACTCTGAGTGGACCAGATGATTGGGCACAGAATTCACTTCCACAGAAGTACATTATCACAGGAATGGAGCCCAATAAAACACAAGAGACACCCTTTGTCCAATAAAACAATTCCACCCAGATTTTTATAAGAAAAAACTGATCCTACCTTTAATGTCCGTCACATATGTGCTCCCCTAAAACTCAGTCAGGAAGACAGAAATGGAACAACATGGAGCCAGTAAGGACAACAGGAATAATGTTAGCCAAACATTATAAATCCTGGTACTAACTTAAAAATGCTTTTATCTGAAATGTTCTCCTTTCAAGTTCTGAAAATGAATTGTTTGTCCTTTAGAGGAGCAATTAAAGGATATAATTTTTCAAATTAACCAAAATTCTAGTTTTAAAACTATAGTATACTGGGCTGGGGATGTGGCTCAAGCGGTAACACGCTCGCCTGGCATAAGCCGGGCGCTGGGTTCAATCCTCAGCACCACATAAAAATAAAATAAAGATGTTGTGTCCACCGAAAACTGAAAAATAAATATTAAAAAATTCTCTCTCTCTTCTCTTAAAAAAAAAAAAACAAAACCCAACCTCAATACCAGAAATATCTACAACTGTGGTTAACTGGAGGTAATTTTGCCCCCAACTCAGGGTCATTTGGCAATGTCTGGAAACACTTTTGATAGCTACAACTTCAGGGGGAGCAGG